TATGTACACATATAATATTTATATTATATGATATTTATTAAAGTTATGATTTAAAAAATTCTTTTTACATGTAAAAATAAATGTTGCTGACTATATACAATAATTTTTGTAATTATAAAATTACTAGACGAGTAATAATTATAATTTCTTTGTTTTCTATATTATTATATTGCGTGAATCATAATTTATAAATAGCACTTTTGAATATAATCAAAGAAATAATTTTAAAAAATTTCTTAAAGCATGATTTGTATTATATAATTTAATACTAGTAACGGATTTTTTTATTGTCTAAAGTCGTGTAAAACGGACAAATACAAGTAAGAGTGTCATTGTTCAATTCTTTTTTAAGCTTGTTTGCAAATCACAATAAAAATTTCTTCTGCATTACACTCATGGAAAATCAAATTACACTTATGCATTAAATAAAGCGTACATTAAATAAAAGTACAAACTGTATGATGTTGTAATGTAGCCGTACAAAAATCGCCATGTTTCCACATCTTATTCTTATTCCACGATTTAAATCGTTTACTGCTGCGCTCCCAATAACGTAAAATAAATGCTCCGCGCGATACCTGTCAAAATAATTCCAATATTATTTCTATATTATATAGAAAAGGCCAAATTTATTTGAATAAATTTTTTTCGCAGAGCAAAGGAAGAAATAATTAATTATTCTCTATGAGAAAAATAAAAACTACGAGATAAAAATAAATTTAAAAAAGATAAAAATAGGCTCATTTTTGACATTTATATAGAAAGTAGAAAGAAATGATATTTTTATCTACTTATATTCAAAAATTAATAAACAAATTGTATGATCTTCTTTGGGGGCAATATATAAACTACCTATTTTTTCAAAATAGGGATTAATTTCTTACCCTAATAACTTGTACATTGCGCAAACGTGCTGTGTGAGAGCTAGAAACAGAGTGGAACTGGCAAGAAAAGGTAATGGTGAGACAATAAGCACGATGGCTATGCAGAATCGAATTAAGTAAAAATACCGCTCCTCATCGATAAAGAAATCATAATCAAAAGGATTCCTTCGCGGCCGAGACTCATTCATGGGTGATATAACATCGAGGATTTCTGGCATAAACATCCATATGAAGTACATAATTTGACATCCATACAACAGAACTGAAAAATTTGATAATTGTAAATCTTTTAATATAATCATTATATATAACCACGTGTACACAAGATATAAATTTTGGTTTTGAGATTATATTAATATTTGATTTCTCTATTTGAGAACCTTTGATAAGAGATATTAAAGTGATATAAGATTCAAGTGAATTAAAATACAAAGCATAAATAATATTCAAAATATGATTAATTTTTAATAGTTACGAACATCATTTCTTTTATTATATTCAACTCTTTCTTGAGAATGTTCGGTTTAATTATAATTCAATGCAGAAAAAATGTAAAAAGGATAATTGTCACAATCTCATATACAGAAATATAATTTCAAATTCACAAACAGAAATTTTTTGATAATAAAGTAATTTAATATTTCTCTTACCTGCATAATAAAACGTAAATAATTTCGTGATTTCGGCATGTTGATGCATAATCCTGATTTCATCGTTTGTTTTTAGCAAAGACCAATCTTGCCACATACACTCAAATAATTTTTTAAACTAAAAAGTAGATAAAGCACAATAAATAGATATGCATTATATTATAAAATGGTAATAAGGAAAGATGGAAGGAGATAATATATTTGATCTATTCGGGCATTTTGAGCGTTAGTACGAACATAATAATGAAATTTAAAAATTCTTCAAGATTAAAAATTTTATTGATACTCAAAATTTATTCATATTGTTTATTTTTATTGTATCACTTTTTTTATTTTATGGATATTGTTCATAATATTGGATGATAAGAAGAGTAATATGATAATGGCATAATTAGAATCAGACTAATTATTTGTTTTTACAAAATATGTCGCAAACACATACACGTACACTCGGCAACAGGAACGCCTTAACACATGAATTTAAATGCACGTCAGGGCATATATGGAAAATGCATACATGCTCCGAGATGTACATAAATTCATGTGTTAAGGCATTTTTTCCCCGTGTGTATGTACATACACATGTAAAATTTATAAAAAATAGTTTTTTAGAAAAATTTTATTATGTAATATAAGTTTTATATACTAAACTGCAAGTAATGTGTCTTATTGAATTTTATTAAGAATAGAAATAATAATAACCAAGCTTACTTTGTCTAAGTTTCCGGTATGTTCATATAGATGGAATAAGCTCCCTATTGTAACTAGCAATACTTGTATCGCAAACACCATGAACTCCCTATTGATGTTGGACGTGAAAATGCTATTTAGCTGGAAACATTTTATTAATTTTTAATAAGAATGAAGGGATGAAAATATAATTGTTTTTCAAGAGATATTTATCAAAAAATGTTTGGCTAAATTTCTCACATAATTAAATCTTATTTTAATGGATAATAAAATAGAAAAAGGCTCTAATATATCAAATATTTAAAAAATTCAAGTAGAAAATGGATTAATAAGAACCGAGCGTCAAATTTATTTTGATGAACATAATGAACATAATATTTAGTTATAAAGTTTTAATTCTATTGTACTATTATTTAAAAACCTTTTATTTGAAATTTATTAATTTAATAATTTATAATTTATAAAATTATTAATAATTTATTAATTTATTAATTTACAATATTTAATAAAAAAGAATAGCGCGTTGTAATTATACCTGAATAAATATACTGGATAGTGTAATGACAGTAATAATGCCTCTAATTAAGCGACCGCTCCATACGCTTTGATAAGGCCATAGTCCACTGGCCAATAACAAAAATCGGTTCAATTTGTAATAACGCTTTTCAGGATGTTCCATCTATTTTAAGGAACCCAAAAGAATTGTTATAAATCGGAATTCATGGTTCGTTACTTTATTATAATTGTTTCACTACTTTTTTAAAGACTGCTTTTGATTATATATACTTCTACTTTTTCCGGTCTCACAACACTTATCGAAAGAATATCAAATTATATTAAAAAATGCGAAAAGTTTTCGGAGGTATCAAAAATTAACAGTGCATGTGTAACATTTAGCTAATAATATGGGAAAAACCTCGGCAGTACGCGCGCGCGTAAAAATGAAATAGTTTAAATATTTAATCACAAAGTTTCAATTCTATGTGCATTATGACTTATAAATCTTGCTAATTCTTTAATTTATAATATTCAAAATTAAAATAAAAATATCGTCAAAATCGACAACTACCTGAATACAAATGATAGCATGATGACATTGATAACGCAACGCTTCTGAAACAAGCGTACTATTCGCTTTGATAAGGCCATAGTCCAGTAGTCGATAGGAGAAATCAGTTTAAATTGTAGCGCTCTTTGGCATGTTCCATTTATTTCGAAGGATCCAGAAGAACTGATTGTTGAGGACGAGCTCGTCATCGATCGTTGCTGTTACTATAGTCGTTTTACCTCTTTTAAGATACACTCGATTATTTCCACCTTTTATTTTTTTTCGTTCTTACATTATCGGACGTATATTTATGAAAAATGCACGCGTTTGACATAAAAGCGAGAGACGTCTAGAATATCGATCGGCATGCATGTAATATTCGGCTAATAGCATGAGAAGGAAAAAATCAGTAGTCTGCAAACGAAAATTGCCTTCATACAGTTAGTTTTTTGCACGCGCGATTACCTCGCTGTGGCAGTATCGCGAATATTCTTTGACTATTACAGAGTAAGAAGAGCGAGCAACGAAAGGGAGATATAATGTAAAGAATATCCGAAATAGAAGAAAATATTGAAGTGGTATATTTTACACAATATACGACGATAAAAAGTTGCCAGATAAATTCCTCTTATGATAGAAGATGCGTCGGAAACGGAATTCTTAGTTGTAATATGGTAAATTCTTTAATATATTTTTGGTACATTTCTTAAGAATAATTCAAAATTGAAATGTTGAAACCCGGCAAGTATTTTTTTCGAAAAAATAAATGAACAAATAAATTGATATTTATCTATGTTTAAATTATAAAGGACTATCGATACATCGGATTTTGCATTTTTTGCGTAAGACTAGAAGTTAACGTACGAGAATCTTGATTTAACGAATCTGCCATTGAAATAAAAATTAGTGTCTTCTGAAAACATTCTATATTTCCGAGACAACAAAAAGATCGGACGGAAACGCGAGATATTTTAGTATTCCATGAGTAGCTCTTGCGAATATTGAGATCTTTGCATACAGGTATATCAGTTTCATATATACCTTGTGTGAATAGATGAATTTTCTACGAGTATAAAGAATGTGTGTGGCAAGAGGAAGAAGACAAGAGAGATTTCCCCATTTTCTCTTTCTTGTAATCTTTGTTTCGTGCGAGTCGCTACTTCATTAATATTTAATTAAATTGACTTCCATGAATGCTACTGCGTTACTCAACCTCGCAATTTATAATCGATTTTAAAATGAGCCCTTCTCGATGCGTGATACTTTGCATGACAAAATTTTTTATTCCGCGATTGCGAAGTAATATGTTGTTTCACGCAAAGATCGCATTTCAATTCAACGAGGTAACTTCGAGGAAGGGTTATAAACTCGAAGAGGAGGAATACAAAATTAATGGATGGGATCGATGCAAATCGTATTCGCCCCGACTCTTATCTCAGAGCATATATATGTCTTTAGAAAATAGTGAAAAAGGAAACCGCGTGGTGTTCAACTATCTACATATGTAGATGTGATATGGCGACATCATATGTTGCATGCAACAATATTTGACATATTAAAATAAAATACTCAAACCATATATTTCATATAATACATAAAATAACGACAAAACCATCGACTAGATATATTCCTATGTAGAAATGTGTTATAAATATTCTTAATTCTCATAGCAAAAATTTTTTGATTCTTATAAAATATATTTCTTAAAAATCTTGGATGGAGAAGAGAGAGGGAGGAACAATAGTAAAAAATAATTTTCTATGTATTGATAGATACTTAGATACTTGTATATCTATAGATTATAAATAAATAAAGACAGCATCTTGCTAAAGATAAATCAA